TTTTTTTTTTTTTTTTTTTTTTTTTTTTTTTTTTTTTTTTTTGCCTCCCAGTAGGGCTTTGCACTGCACAGGAGCTTGTCTGACCTTGGTTCCCTCCCAGGTGCTCCTCCTGTCTCTGGGAGTTCCCTGGGAGTATCGAATCCTCAGGAGGAGATAGTGAGTTCTAGCTGAGCTGGGGCATCTTTCTTTGGCAAAGGCTCAGTTCCTGCTCCAGCCCCAAGCATCTCCCCTATCGCCTCTCATCGTGCCAGGTGGAAGCAGCTCCTGCTACCTGTAAGGTGTTTCTGAGCCTCTCCGGGCCTGGCAGGGTTAAAGAAGGAGAAAGGAATCCCGCATGGATATTTGGGGACATTTCTACCCTGAGTCAGTGGCCATCTTCCCCTCTACTCTTCAAGCCAGGAGTGGTTTGAGGGAAGGCAGGCGGGCGGAGGGAATGGCGGCCCATCAGCAGGAAAGCCAGCTGCTGTGCCTGCCAGGAAGTTAGGTCTGCTCCTTAGTTTGGAGGAGATGCCCAAGTCTTGCATTTACCCCCAGGCAATGTTCTTGTCTTGCATTTCTGGGGAGGCTGAAAAGTCCCAGAATTCTCTTTATTACGTCCATGCCCCACTCTTCCTAGAATTTGGAGGAACTTAAGCATGCCATTTCAGCCCGAACTGTGATTAACATTTAGTTCTGGAAAGCTGAGGCTCTGGGTTAACAGTTTTAGGCAAAGAGAGAAGAGGAATTGCCAAATGTCCATGAGACAGTGGGGCGGGTCAGGGTCCTGGGTAAGAGGCTTGCTTGAAGAGGGGAGCCCCAGGGCCAGTGAGGAAAGAACACTGCGGACAGAGCTGGGCCGGGGTCCCGGAGGAGGTGCTGGAGTCTGGTGAGGGCGGGCTCTCACCTCCTCGGGAAGGGCTGCTCTGACCTGACGCTCAGTGAGCTGGGACGGGGCCGTGGGAGAGCACCGCAGGTGGGTTCAGAGGTGGCCTCTGTGTCTGGCTTGCTCTGGCATGTAAGGATTTCAGACTGACCGGCCCTCGCTCTGCCCTCACTCTGCCCTAACAGTGCAGTTAAGCCGGGCCCCAGCCCAGCCCTCGCCTTCCCGGTCTCCTGGGGTGACGCCTTCCCCAGGAACCTTTGGCTCCCAGGCTGTGGATCCAATACTTTCTGTCTGACATTGTTTACCAGGAAGGGAAAAATCACAGCCGATTTCACAGAGCCATGGCTTCTCCTGACACACCTGCATTTGTTGGATGCCTCCCTTCCATTTAATCTTCCACATTTTCCCGGCTGAAAGGGACCAGCCGTCCTTATTGCCTGTTGCTGGAGGAAGAAACCTGATGGAGAAGATGCAACAAAGACCCTGTGAATGGGAAGAGCGCTGGCTGGAGACTTCCGCAGCCTCACGATTTGGCTCTGTGGCTTTGGGGAGGGCGCTTCGGAGCCTCAGCTGCTTCCTCGTCTGTGGGTGACTGGACCAGATGGCCCGTGGGCCTGTAGCAGTGGAGGTTAGGCATGGAGAAGCTGGGGCAAGCTACTGTGACCACATCCGGTTGTCACTCAGCACTGCAGTGCCCTGGGGTAGGGTTTAGTGATCTCAGCCTCCTCATCCAAGCCAATAGTCGGACATGGTGTGTGTCCCCTAAGGAGGAGTAGCCACTCAGTGAGAAAGTGTGTGCAGGTGCTCGGTCCCAGCTGGATGTGCTGCTGTCTGCCTCTTTCAGTAGTGAACTTTGAGTGCGATGACGTCGCATGGTAGATACTGAAATGAAAGATCACTTGGACTTGATACCACTCTGGTATCGAGACCTCAGGGGTCTGGCGGAGCTGGACTGACCTTCTCCCAGAAGCTCCTGCCTCCTCAGTGGCCTGCTGACAGGTCTAGAAAGAGGTGCCAGTCGGATAGGTGTGTGTTCGCAGGATGGGGAGGGAAGTGACACGTTTGTATGGTGTGTTATACAATAATCGATCGTAATCTCCCACTGTGCTAGGCTAATAGGTGATTCAGCAAATGAAGCTCCAAGAAATAGCGGGGCATGTTCTGTATGACTACGGACCTAGGGAGCAAAAGAGTAAGCTGTGCACGGGAGCTACTCCCATAGGGAGAGAAGGGGCAGCAACCAAGTGCTGGTTCTCATCCAAGGCCTTCTAAAGTCATCTGATGGGAAATATTTGATTAAAAATCAAAATTAGGGGTAGAGATTTAGTTCAGTGGTTCTGCCGCCTACCTTGCAAGCACAAGATCCCGAGTTTGATCCCCAATACCCCCCCAAAATCAGAATTAAATTGGAAAGTACCAATAACTGTCCTGGGCCTGTGTCACAGGGTTTACTATTTAGCTTTGGGTCTGTCACATGCGTAGGCTCCCTTCAGGATCCCGGAGGGGCCCTCTCATGTGTTTGCATTGTACGAACTCTCAATATGGACGTACTTTAGTCCCTGTCTGTTACGATCAGTGTTCTTGTCCACTCTGACTTCCTCTCTGGTGCACTTTAGCTCATGCTAGGTGACGTCAAAGGCACCACGTTTGGGGACATCTGGTTTAAGGAGAACTTGACTGGGAATGGCTGTGGCTTATAGCGATTTGAAATCACATCTGTGTGTGGTTGAGATGTAACTGATGTGAAAATGGCATCCAGAAATATTCCTTTCCATCGTGCTGGCTTCTCCCCAGAAGTGCAGGTAGGGAGGAGAAGCAAGGTATCAGAAGGTCCAGAGTTAAAAATATAAACTTCAGCTGGGGCTTTAGCTCAGTGGTTCTGCCACCTGTCTCATAAGCGCAAGGTCCCAAGTTCGATCCCTGGTACTAAGAAAAAAAAAAAAAAGAAATGAAAAAAAGAAAAATAAAAACTTCTGACAGTGAGATGCTCTTATCTGAAATTCAAGGTTAATCGGACATCTTGTGTCCAGTGGGAATATGTAGGAGGCAGCAGTCAGCTCCAAGGTGGGCAGGGGCAGGCAAGGAGGGAAAAGGGAAGGAAGGGGGGCGGACTTCTCAAGGAGCTGGCCCTGAGCCAAGTCCTGAAGATGGGGGGTGGGTTTAGGAGACAGTGAGAGGGGTCTGGAGACTCAGGAGAGGGTTTCCCTGCACCTGGGAGCCAAGGGAGCCATGCTGGAAGGGTTAGCCAGGAGCAGCAAGCCTGGGTTTGCACAGCGGGAAGTCTGGGTGCAGGTGGACTGGGGGAGTCATGACCCAGGAAGGACAGAGGCGTCGTGTGGCTTCCTTGCATTTCCAGGAGCTGGCTGCCCTTCAGCTCTCTAGAGGTAATTTTGGGGCATTTGAGCCATGCAACAATGTAAGAATCAAAGAGTGTCTGGGGCTGTAGACCAAGACTTTTTATTTTCTTTCTGCTTTTGAGACTCTATTTACTTCTCTAGTGAGAACTGAGCCATCAGTGTCACTGATGTCTTTCACAAATTCCTCTGTCGTAGTCTTTGCAGTCCTCATAGTGGCTCCTTCCTCCAATCTAGCTTGAGCCATTCCCACCGCCCTGATCCGTTTCACCCTCATCCTACAGTGGGGCTCACGTTGCTTGGGTCCACAGAGCCTCATTCCCAGAGAAGACACCCAGAGTCACGCAGTCTTTTCTGGCTCCAGGGCTTGCACCCACGAGTGAGAAGTCCCCATTCTTCTTTTGTGGACGGGGTTGTGCAGGGAAGCCAGAGTCATTCACTAAGTTGGAGGGGACGCGGGTGGGAGGCAGAGTGGAAGGCGCTGAGCCCTGTGTCTCGCACATGTGGCACTCAGAGGTTTCTCCACTCTGGCTGTTGAGTCGCCCTTTACACTCACTCTGCTTCTCCGTGTGACCCGTGGAGACTGGGCTCTGGTACCCAGGTGGGGTCCAGTGGTTCCAGAAAGGCAGTTCTTAGTCTGGCTGCCACCCCGGGTCTACGGGCCACATCCATATTGACAGCAGTCCTGGCAGGGCTGTCCCACCAACTCCACTTCTGTTACAAATGTACCGGGGATCGAACACCGGTCCTTGCGCTTCCGAGGCAGGCAGGCAGCGGAACCACTGAGCTAAATCCTAGCCCCTATTTCAATTTTTGATAGGTGTTGGGCAGCAAACCTTAGAATGGAGAGAAATAATTTCATACCGTTTCTTTTCCCTCTCAATTTAAGAGCTCAAAAAGGCGCTGTAAAATTAAGGACAGAGCTTATCCTCTTTGCGTGGCTTATGACGTGTCAGGCACGATGACGGAGGCTTACATCGAGTCGCTTGATTTTGCGCCAAGCCTGCACGGTGAGCACTCACGGGCAGGAAGATCTGCACCGTCTTACAGGTGAGAGGACGGCGCGGGCCCAGCCGCGGGCCTTCAGCCTGAGCGGAGCCCGATACACTGCACGCCCAATGGGGAGCTATAAAGTCGTCCCGTTTTCCCTTCCCCTGCCAACTTCTTTATTTGACATCAGGCCCAGAGCAAAGGTGACCCAGGACAGCAGTCTGAGCAGGAGGAAATGAGTGAGGGGCGGGCCTTGGCACGGAGGAAGTCGCCCACCGGGGGGCGCTGAGTCCCTGAGGCCGGCCTGGCCTCGCTGGAGACAGGAGAAGAGGCGCCTTCCCGCCCACCTGGGGGAGGAAGGGGAGACGGCACCGCGTGGAGGCAGCTGGAGTGCTGAGCTGCAGAAGGAGCAGGGAGATGCCAGCAACTCCTGCTGCAGTTGGCTCCTCCTTTTCCTCATGATCAACCTAAGAGCGAACAGTGCACAGGTCAGTGCGCGGGTCAGGCCCTGAGCTCCTTCAGACCCCAGACTATTTCGCCTGTGCCGTGGAACTTCAGAAGGTCTTACGCAGCTTGTCCGGTGTTTTTCAGAGAAGAGGGAGAGCCAGGGCTACATTGTGAACCGCTGTACCCACAGCTTCTTTCAAATGTGCTATTCCATTAGGTGCAAGACCCTGGACAGCAAGGGTTCCAGCCCGCAGGTTCCTTGCTCTCGCACCGACCCCATAGAGTCCCGGCTCCTCCTTTCCCTCCCTTCTAGTCGGGCTGCAGGCGCAGGGTCTGCACAGCCCCATGGGGTCGCTTCTATTTCACCCCACCCCAGAATTGCTTCATGAGGTAAACACGAGCTTCGTTTGTTCTGGGAATTCATGTTTGGGGAGAAAACGGTTTATATCCCAGGTAAAGACAAAAGAGGTAATGTGCAAAAAAAAAAAACAAAACAAAAAACGTCTGTGCACATAGAAGCGAAAAGGATTTCTTGTGAAGTTAAAGAAAGTGACACATGGGACGCTTTCAGCTCATACCTGGCACGTGCTCCATCCTCATCCACAGGATCAGACCCCTGGGGAGGCTTGTGCCAGGGCCAGAGGCAGAGTCCCCGAGGCTGGCTGCTGGCAAGGTGAGCCTGCGCTTAGGTTGCATCTCTCTGGAAAGTGATCCAGCTTAGATTTCTCTGTATGGTCACAGAATTGAAAAGAAATTCTCACTTGCATGGTGATGGGGAGTTCATTTTTCCCAGAAACTGCATGTCAAGAGAAAGAGGCATTTCTTAATAATGATTAGTCAGCTACATAGTAAAGAAGAAGAAGAAAAAGAAATAATGAAGGAAATGAAATGCAAAAAAAGAGGGGAAACAGACTCCTAAAGCGAGATCCACCCTTAAACCTTGACAACATTTCCTCTTAGCCACTCGCATAAAAGCGACGGCCCTTCCAATGTCCAAGAGCACTCAGAGAGAAGACACAGGAGCAGCTGGCAGATCGCAGTGAGAGGTGAGGCCTGCCAGGCTCGTCCAGGGCCCTCGCTGTCCCAGCCCTTGTCCGTCACAGGTGCCAAGAGCCCGCGTCACTGAGCATGGCCCAGGGTGGCCCAGGCATGGGGTCTCCTGCAGAAAGGGCAGGGGTATGCGTTGTAGGGAGTGAGCCTTCTGGGAAGGAAAAGAAAGGAAAGGGCAGGGAAGGGAAGAGAACAGGGGAGGGGAGGGGAAGGAAACTAATGTCTTCACTACTGCTTTCCACTCTAGGAACTATGCTGGAAAATTTAGAGTGTTTCTTTGAAAAAAATTCTTTTAGGTATTAAATATGTTATTTTTCAGAACTGGGGGTTGAACTCAGGGCTCTCCACCATTGAGCTACATTGCCAGCCCTTTTTACAATTTTATTTTGAGACAGTCTTGCTAAGATGCCCAGGCTGGCTTTGAACTCGTGAGCCTCCTGCCTCAGCCTTCTAAGTATCTGGGGTCACAGGCATGCAGCACCATGTTTGGCTTAAATATCCTTCCACATTCAAGGTGCTGCCATGGGTCAGTGACTGTCAGAAATGTGTCACTGTGAATCTGGTGCAAGGGGAGTGGCCGGGGTTTGCAGCTGAGAAGTAGGAGGGCAGGGGGCCCCTGGGCCGCCGCTCCCCTTCAAGTCCTGCCCCTCCTGGGTAAGTGGGGTGAGAAGCAGGACCCCCACAGGGTGGTTTTGAGTGTGAAGCAAGACAGTCAGGCAAATGCTTCTCACGGTGCCCAACACATGCTGTGTGTGGGATAAAAACTCCCTGCTATTATCTTCTGAATTGGCCAAAACGTCTGGAATGGCACGGCAAGGGGGCGCAGCTCTGGGACTCTTCATGCATGTCCCTGCCAGTGGGGTTTGTTTCTTTTTGTGCGCAAGAAAGAAATGAATAGAGAAAGCAAGCTGTTCAGCATACTGCCTGCCCAAGGTGACATCTCGGGACCCATTTGCCTATGCCCTGGGCAGGCTGCGAACTCAGGAGAAAGAAGGATTTGCTGTTTCTTGGCTGTCTCAGAGAAGGGGACAATCAGTCCCAAGGGGACGCGGACATTCAGATGAGCACTTGCAGCCGTCATCGGGGCTCAGGAGGGACACTGAGGCTCCTTCTGTCCTCCACCACCCTGGTGTCATGGGAAATGAGGGGCACAGGGCCAGTGGGGTCACACGTGTTTGCCGAGGTGTACTTTTCTGGCCAAGCTGTTTGTGAAGCTGGTCCTACCAGGAGGAAAGTCAGAGAAGGGCAGCGAGCTGTCTTCTGATGTTTGATGCCCTTTTCTCTGTATGCGTCAACGCCACGATTCAAAGTGGATAAAGGAAGAGGCAGAAACACAGGCGAGAAGGGCGAGAGAACCAGAATTGAGCATCGCAGGATGTGGCCCTGCCTGGGAGCTGCACACGTGCTCCTTGTGCCAGCTCTGGGCAGCATGAGGGCAGCAGCTTTCCCCCGACTCTTCAGCGCAGCTACGTAATTATTAGGCGAGGTCTTGTACTCCTTTTTCCAACTTCTCCAGAAGGCAGACTTTGAGAGGTTAGCTTGAAATAGAAGATATTAAGCAGATACACACTGGGTTTTTATAATAAAAGGCTGATGCTTACTTTGGGGACATAAATAACCAAATGTGCTTGTATGGTTTTTCAGATCTGTTGCGTAATTCCTGTGGCATATTACAACCCTGTTTTCCTTACTGCATTTATTAAAAACAATACCCTTCACCCCTGTTGACCAAGTAAGCCATGTTGAGTCACAGTGGATGGATACATAAATGTGCTCCTTGAGACTGGACAGGGACTGCGCTGGGCTTCCAGGGGGCGGAGTATAGGAAGTCTTTTATGGGATCCATTCAGCAAGGTCTGAGGAGGAGACGTGGTGCTGAAAGCCCACAGGCTGAGGTTCGAGGCTGTTCTCTGGGCTGTTGCCTGGCTGTCCACCAGGCCCTCAGGGGAGCCCACCAAAAGTCTCTCATTTTCTTGCTGTCCACCCTGGGCTCGGCAAGTGACATCCACCCTTTCTGCAGGATATGAAGGCACAGTGTGTTTCTCTCTGGCTCCTGGGCACCACACTTGTCCTGTGCTCTGTGCACACCACTGCTTTCAGGAGATGCCCAGTTCCCGTGGACATGCATCTGCTAGAAGAGAGTTTCCAGGAAATCAAAAGAACCGTGGTGAGTATGGGTTGGGTGAAGTGGGGACGAAGGGGCGTGGCTCCCCTACATCTTGGCCCGAAGGCAAGTTCCTTCTTGGTACCTCTGTGTCTTGGGAGAGCACAGAATATTCACTGCTTATGCCTGTCTGGTGTCCTTCTACAGCAAACCAAGGACACCTTCCAAAACATCACCATCCTATCCCCAGTGGAGACCCTGCGGAGCATTAAGGTATCCATCTGTTTGCTATTTTCGTGTAAAATGGCTTTGGCTGAGAAAGAAGTCCCTACCCTGCCCCCTTCTCTTTTCTGACCTCCAGCCTTCTCCTTTGTCACCCGAGGGCTTGGGCACAGTAATGCTCCAGAAATTGAAGCCCCTGGGAGGGATTAAGGAAGTGCCACTTCCCAAGGGAGTGACAGGAGTGCCCAGTGCTCAAGGGGACAGGGTTACTGAGAATCGGGGAGATGAGAAAACAGGGAGCAACCTAACAGCAGAGGAGTCTGCAGGTGAGTGGAGAGAGAGGAGGGCATGTGGAGGTCCATGGGGGTTGGGATGTGCAGCGGGCCTGGGGACATGGATTCCAAGGACCGTGTGAGGCAGGAGAGCTGGGAGGAGGTGAGGCTGGGTGTGCAGAGAGGCGGTGCCCGAGGGTGCCACCAAATGGTTGGTTTGCCAGAGGTTCACTCACTTGAAGGAGGAGCCTGAGGGGTGCTGGAAGTGAGCCCTTTCCATCCTGGGAACATTCTAGAAAGATCCAGTGTTCTTCATTTTCAGGGAGTTGTGTGACAGAGTCTGAAGTGTGTCTACAAGGCAATGGGGACTTAAGGAGGGAGGAGGATGATGGTGGCCAAATCAGGAATAGAGCCCCAAATCTATGCTCCAATTCTAGGCTCTTTCTCCTCTCAAGGTCAAGAAATAGCTGATGTGGAACAAGGAGAGAGTCGGTGAGGACTCAGGCCTTCATCACGGTCCTGATTTCCTCTCTCCCTTCTTCCTCTCCCTCTTTCCCCTTTCTGTCTGGACTGCATTCCTTTTTCCAGTGCCACAATCTTTGATGACACAGAGGCCCGTAGCTTTTTCCAGTGAGTGAAGGAAGAGAGGGTTTTCTGTGTCCTGTGAAATGCGGCCATCCGGGGAGAGCTGCCTTTGGGGCCAAAGGAATTTTGCTCCTTTGGTGTTGAAATGGACACACTGCCAGCTGTGAACCATGCCTACTTAGACTGAGCTGTAAATGCTCAAAGTCCATAGCATGGCAGAGTGCGGGCTGCCTGAAGGGAACAGTCTCTGGCTGTACTGCCGGGATTTAGGAGCTCTTCGGGGAGATCTGTGTTCAGGGGCCTTGGGCTTAGCAGATGTACCCGTTTCCACAGTCCCCATTCTTGCAAATCTTGGCCCGGTTCAAATGAGAACTGAAGAGAGCTTGACAACATGGTACAGGCAGGGTGGCCGGGACGGACAGTGCACACCTGTGCAGTGCCAGCCTGGCAACAGCCGTGAATGTGGGTGGATGGGGACAGGAGAGGCCAGCATCAGCCTCCATAGCACCGGAAGTAGTTCTCAAGAAGGCTGCTAGACCGTCGATCTTCCGGGAGGAAACACAGAGAGCTCGGCAGTGACACCTTGGGTGTTGTAGAGAGGACTCCAGTCTACGGCTGGAGTCTGGGCCCGGCCTCTGTTAATGCATCTCTGGACCATACGTAGGAGGACTAGACTGGAATCTGTCCTCTTCGCCTCCCTTCCATGCAGCTTTGCCATGAGAAGAGTGGGTGAGCCCTCGGGGGCCATCGCGGGTTCGTCAATGGTTTCAGTTCTCTGCTTTGGACAGTAGGGAAACCCGAGAAGAGGCCTTTGGGACTTTCTCTGATTCATGTCTGCAGCCCGTGGATGTGTGCTGTGTGACCAAGAACCTTCTGGAGTTCTACATGGACAGGGTTTTCAAGGACCACCAGGAGCTAAAGCCTCAGATCTTGAGAAAAATCAGCGGCATTGCCAACACTTTCCTCTACATGCAGAAAACCCTGCAGCAATGCGTGAGTTCGCCAGTGTCTGCTCCGTGTCTGCTCTGCGGCCAGATGTGCTGGCCCCGTTACCCTGCGGTGGGGGTCGTGGAGTCGAATGAAATCCCTGGCCCTGTTGCAGTGGGGAGTCCACTGAGGAGCTTTTCCAGCGGTCACTCCTCTCCTGGGGAGCGACTTCTCCTGTTAACACCTGAGCAGGGGCTCCTCACCACCTCCTGGGGTGGCCAGGCACTCCAGCCTTACCATGCATGCCTCCCCATCCTTTCACTGTTGGCTCTTTGGGGTTTCATATCACGGAACCTCTGGGTAGCCCCTTGGTATAGCTCAAACGCTAGAAGTTCCTTCGGCTCTTTTCAAAATCGAACGTCAGAAACAAAAACAGAACTGACCGACTTAGACCAGGAGAGAACCCTGAGTTCTAGCCCCACTCCTGCTGGTGATTTCCTGTGTGGCTTTGTGGGGAGTAACTGCACCTGCCTGTGCCTGTTTCTAAAGTTGTTGGGCGATGATCCCTGAGCTGCTTACAACATCGCATAAGGGAACCCAATGGGTACGTTTAGCCACTAAATTGATCCAAGTGTTTGCAGAGTGCCTGCCTTGTGGGGTGCTGCATTCAGAGTGTGGCAGATAGATCTAGGACCTGCTCACTTGGTGCTGCCCATCTGGGGCTATAAATCCACACGGAGCAAAAACCATGGTCAAAATACAAGCTGACAGCGTCAGCAGACTGCATTTCCCCGGCTGAGTTTGCTCACCTGACCGTCACTGCGGAGAGAGGAGAAATGGCAATTCTCACGTAGGGACGCAGTGGCCAGAGTGGGCCAAGGTGGGCCAGGTTCTCTGATGACAGGTGCTGTCTCCATGGATCACAGCAGGTGCAGAGACGGTGCCACTGCAGTGAGGAGGCCACCAACGCCACCAGAACTGTCCATGACAACTACGAGCAGGTAAAGTCTGGGCAGGGCATGGGGAAGAGGAAGATGAGAGGGAGCAGTCTGCCCAGAGTGCCGGCCGCTTCCCCGCCCGCGGTCACTCACCGGGTGAGGGTCAGCTGCGGGCCACCCATGTCCCTGTGCTCCCTTGGCCCTCCTCCTTCAGCCTTCCCCTCTTCCTATGCTGGTGCGTATCAGGCCTGACCTGTGTTTAGTCTGCGGAAAAGCACCTCGTGCCAAAGCCGGGTGATCCAGAGGAAGCAAAGGTCTGCAGTGAGTCCCAGGCTGCATTACTTGCCAAGTGTCCCGCAGCCAGGACCGGCCACCAGGGTGCTGTGTGCCTATGACGACGTCATGTAGGCATCTGCACCTCCGTGTTGGTGTCGACACAGCCCCTCTGTGTGCGTCACTGGCTCAGGTGCACGCAGCAGGTCCGAGGTGAGGCCTGAATTCTGACCACGCCCCTCCTGATGCCAGGGCATGGAAGGGCGAAGGGCCGGGAGCTGTCTGGAGCGCTGCTCTCTGGAGAGAGGCCTCACTGGAGAGCATTATAGAAAAAGGTCCGAGTCTAGTGGTTCTTACTAGGAACCAAGAATTGTTCCGATCCCACTACAGATGTGAACACATCAGTCCCACCTAATAGTGCTGTGAGGATTATCTGCATTGGCTAAACTAGGAAACTGAGTTCGTGCTGCAGCTGTGCGGGGAGGCAGGGTTTGCTCCCATACCGGGCAGCTGCAGCGCACTCCCGTGTAGGTCTTACCACCTCCTCTGGACTACAGGGAGGCGGGACGGGGCGAATGCTGCACTCTGGACCCAGCTCTTTCATTAGCCGACTGTGATGCAGGGACACTTGGGGGCTATGGTGCTTCTCCATGCCACGGCGGGACAGCGTGCCGTCCCTGCCTACCAAAGCGACCAAGCCTTTCTGGGAGAACAGAAGTGAAAAGAGAATAAGCCAAAATACAGCCAATAGGGCAAATAGTTTCCATGAAAAAATAGAGGGAAAAGAGTGAAGAGTTTTTAAATTTTGTTTAGAAGGAGCTAACATGATTTAATTGCTTGTTTCTGGAAAAAAAGTTTGGTTTCCTATTAGGAAAATGTTCTTTGCTATATAAATGTATTTGAGGAGTCCGAAGAAAATCCCACAGGGAGGGAGACCCTCAGGTGGGCCCGGTCTGTGCAGCGCAGATCACTCACGCCACTGGCTCTTGCAGCTCGAGATCCCTTCTGCCGCCATCAAGTCCCTGGGAGAGCTCGATGTCTTTCTAGCGTGGATCGACAGGAATCGTCAGGAAACTTCCGCTGCCTGACACCAGGAGCCTTTCTGGGGGTAGACACATGGTGTTTCCTGTGGAGACCACTGACTCTGAAGGGGAGAGAGACAAAGTCACCCATGTTTACCCAGATGGGGTCTCTTCAAAGAAACCTCCTGCCGACCTGGGCTTCTCTCCTCTGAAGCTGGGGCGGGGCAGGCTGCACCCTGCGGCTGCGTCCCCTGGCTGTCCGATCCCACCTGAAAACAGCCGGATCTCCGCGCCCGCTGTGCTATTTATGATGAAACCGGCCTTTTGAAAGCCCGTGGAGCCCTCCTGGAAGGAGAAGGTCAGCTCCCCTCTAACTTATTGTGGACCTGCTCATCCCGTGCCTGTGGTGAGCGCTGTGTCCTCTTCTGCAGGACACACTGTGCTGCCCGATGTTTCTGAATAAACTCTGCTTTACCTACGAGTGGAAATGTCCTCTGATTCAGAGAAAGTCAGACAAGGGCTCATGAGAGGACTCTATCAGCAATGAAAGGGACCTTGAAGAGCATAAATAGACAGGAAGCTGAGGCTAGAGGGGAAGGAGAGTGTACTCAGGGTTCAAAACGAGCTAGTGCAGAAAATGCTCCCAAATGACTTCTGACTGCAAAGAATGAGAAGCTCTGTGAAGAACAGACGTTTATTTAGCTCACGGTGCTGAAGATCCCTTAGGGCATGGGGTCAGCATTGGCCTGGCCCTCGTGAGGACCTCACTGCAGATGGTCTCACAATGCAGAATGTATGAGCTGGGAAAGACGTTACACTCTGAAACAGGAAGCCGGAGAGTGAGTTAGGGGTTGCAGCAGCACACCCAGCTCTGGGGAACTAACTCGGGGTGCCCTGAGAGTTGCAGTAAATTCGCCCCGAAGGTTGCTCCCTCACTGACCACAGACCTCCATTCTCAGGGCCCCCCCACCTCTGACCTTGCCGCACTGGGGAGCACGCCTCTGACGTGGGGGTCCTCGGGGGCCACCTGCGAGCTGCATCTGAACTAAAGCTTGGCTCTCCCCTTCGCCACTCAGTACACTTCTCCATGGAAAGACCAAGAGAGCGGACGTGGGGCGTCTTACCGCTGATTTCCTCTGTATTTGTCTGTCTGCTATTTCTTCATATTCCCTCCCCTTCTTTGGCCCTAATACGTTCTCCAGTGGTGTATGGGTTGGATTGAAGAGAAGACGTTTCTGATGAGGGATGGCTGTCATGGTGACAAATGCAGCCCACCCTGGGCGGAGGAGACGGGGTCCAGGCTACAGTAAGAGGTCCCATTGGGTACTCACCTCTGGACGGATGTCCATAGGGTTTCGGAACACAGGCGCCACCCCTCAATAATGAGAATAACGTGAGAGCTGACATCCACGGTCACCTGTCATGGCCAGGTGCAGAGATTCGTACTTTTATAGGCAGTGACCTGGGCCCCTAGTAACTGTCCCTGGCCAGCTCAAGTGTGCTTTACCCCTGCCTGAGAAAGAGCTTGCACAGTGCATGCATTAGTGGAAAGAACAAGACAACAAGACCCCGAAGTCAGAGAGACCCAGTTCCAGTCCCTGGTGATTGAACAAAGTACTTAATGTTGCCAAGTCTCTGCGTCCTTTTCTGTAAAATGAGACACTAGCACCAGGCACAAAGTATTTCCGTGAACACCAAGCGAGTTGAGGGGTGGGAGGAGCATGGTGGAGTGGAGAGGCACCAGCCCAGAGCCACATGCTGTGTGAAGGCTGCTCTTGCCCCAGCAATAGTCCCAGAGTCCCTTTGGTCCTCCACCATCTATCCTGGATACTGACCTCTTGCACTACCTGCCCCACATGCTAAGTAAAAAGTCAGCATCATTCTGACGGCCTGATGCCTGTGGTGTCCCCGCACTCTGCGTGTGCACCTAGAAACTGAGGCAGGGTTAGAAAACACCCCCAAATTACGCTGTCACTGGACTGACAGGTTGTCGAGAGGGAGGAACTCTCTGAGCGACGTTGGATGGACATCCCTGCACAGTGGCTGGACCATGTAGCTGGAGCATTGTCTCTTCTGGCTTCTGCCAGACCCTGTGGGCCTTTAGTCAGCAGGGTCTGTCCCCACTGCCACGCACCTCACACTGCCTCGTTTTCCCTGCATCTTATTTTGTTTAGTTTGTTTCCCTCCTTGAGTGCAAGCTCCCTGAGGGTGGGCGTAATTTGCTTCTTTCACTGCCTGGCATTAAGCAGATATTAAATTCAGCTTTCTTGAATTAAAGATCTGGATGAATTTAAATAACAACATTAATATAGAACATTTCTATGTAGGGCTTTTTATATGCCAGGCGATAGTCTAATAAACATATGTATTATGTTATACTCTGAATACATATTTTATTTAATTCTCACAACAACCCTACAGAGAAATTCTGAGCATGAAATAAAATGATAAAGGTCACTGCGTTGAATACCGGTAGGACAGATAATTAAACCCTATGCAGGAAACTGGACACAGAGATGTTAAGTAACTTTTTCAAGGTCACACAGCTCAGAAGTAGCAAAGCCAGCCTTCCAGTCCAGGAACGTGGTTTCAAAATGAACTATGATGTCAAAAGCAAAGTGCACTTGTTAAAACACTCATGAGCCGGGCAGAATTTATGTTTTCTCCTTAACTCCTCAGGATTATCCTGAAGGTAAACAAGCCTGGTTATACAGACGCAGAGATCTGAAGCTGAGAGAGCAGCAACAATAGCCCTAAGGCCAGGCTGCAGGCCGTGAGACTAGGGTTCAAACACAGACGCCCTGCTGGCGGCCTCACTGCGAGAGGCAGGTTCCCTGGTGTGGTCATCCACGCCTGTGAGGGAGGAATGTGGGCATCTGCGCTGGTGAAGAGAAGAAGGAGATGAAGAAAGACAAGGAGGAGAAAGAGGAGGGAGAGGAGGAAAAGGAGCGGGCAGAGCCCTAGGAAGAGGAGCCCCCCTCTGTCTCACCAGGCTTTTTACCACAAACTCTGTCTCTCGCCAGCTTCCCCTGTTGTCCACCCGCCCTTTCCTAACTTTCGGGTTTGAAGAACGTGGTCCTCTGCTTTTGGTGCACAGCAGGCCTGGCAGATACGGCTTTTTCTTCACAGAGCTGACGAAGAAATAAATACCTGTGAAGGAACCAAGTATAACATTAGCTTCCAGCCCTTCTTCACCCTCTGTCAGCCCCTGGTCATCGCCTGGAGAAACCTAGGCTCACTTTTGACCGCAAAGGTACAAGGGGAGGGAGCCCAGATGGGGTGCACTTTCAGGCAGGATCTCATTCCAAATTCGAAGGAGGCCCAGGAGGTTGGAGTTTTCACCCTCAGGTGGTCGGTGGAGCGGGCTGGGGTGCAGGGAGGCGGGGGAACTTGGCTAAGACCCCAGCAGCGGAGCCGGGAGGTGAACCCAGACCCTCTTCTCAAGTTTTCTTGGCCTGGGCTGTGGTTATGTAGCCCAGGGCCCAGCTCACGACACCAACTGCCCGCTATGCAGATTATTAAACCAGGATGCACTGGGGCCCTGGGCTTACAGGAAACAAATCTGGACCAACACAGAGCACAGGAGCAGAGGCTGACAGGTGAACGTGTCCCGCGATGTTCCTGGCCTGTCCTTCCAATCCACAACCTTACTTAGTCCCATCCTGGGACATCGCTTGCACCGGGAGACCCCACGAAGCTGTGGACTCAGCCCGAGTGTGGGTGGAGCAGGGGCCAAACTGCTGACAGCCACACCTGCAGGCAGCTGCTATTTAGAATCCTAGGCTTGCCCGGAAGCTTAGCCTGACAGGCAAGTGACAGGCTTTCGTGTGACTTCAGATAGTTTCCTAAACCTGAGCCTCATTTTCCTCTTTTGTACGGCGAGGGAGGTATCTACCCCACGGACTGTTACATGGAGTTGAGATCCTGTTTGTACAATGCCCTGTATGTAGTAAGTGCTTATTACAAATGATGGTTGTGACTATTTTCTGATTCTCTGCCCTTGTGATCTTATTTGCCATAAAACAGAGTTGTTTGAGGACAGCCTTCCTCTTCCATGTCTGTGAACTGGCAAGCGAGACCAGGCAGGGATGCTGGCTGAGGACGGTGTATCCCGGCCAGATGTGGAGCTCTGTGGCTCTCTGCTGAGTTGCTGCTCAGGGCCTTGCAGCATCTGCACAGCCAGCCAGGCCCTGGCAGCCTTCCTGGCCTCCCTGCAGCTGGCCCAACGCCTGCCTTCCTTCTCACGGCGCTCATAGGGCAGAATTCTCCCTGGACTCCATCCAGAACTTGCGAGCTTCTGGCCCATGGATCACGGTGCTTGGGTGGACAAATCCTAGAACAGGCCACATGCTCAGATGCCCCTTGTGGCTGGGAGTGCAGGCCGGATGGGGTGGCGGCACCAATAAGCCCTTTCCGCAAGGAGCTCAAGCAGAGGTCAGCACTGTCTCTGATCAAGGAGTCTGGGAGGGAACAGCCTCACAAAACCTCCATGAGCTCTAGCATCTTCTAGACACTGTTTACACTCCACATTCTTGCCAGCCCAGCTGGGTCTGAGTGAAGAGCTGAGCTCTGGAAAAGAAACCCGTCTGTGCAGGGGCAAGGCAAGGCCAGGCACTGGGAGAGGGCCCGGAAGCAGTTCTGTAGCAGGAGATAAAGTCACTCAGCTTCCCCTACTGGAATCCTCTGACTGGCCACTTTCCCAGACCCTGTACCTCAGTTTCCTTATTGGAGAAATGAAGCGAATACTCATACCTTAACTCATAACCGACATTTCTTTAACTAGAAGGTACACGGTATGTAATTGCTACAAACAAAAACACCACCGGTCACCTCTGCTCCATCTGAACTCTATCCCATGCAGAGACTTCACTTTTCAGAAACCTCACCTCACCTCGGGGCAGAAAGTAGGCTTCCTCCTTCTGTGACTTCTCTACAACTTATTCATGTCCCTTAGGATGCAGAATGGTTTCCCATTTATCAACAAGTCAGAGATATCTCAGCCACATCCGCTCTCTCCAGAGTCCCGAGGGCACAGCTGCTCTGCCGCTCTCGGTAAATGACGGTCACTGCAGGGGAGGACAGGCCACCTCAGTGGTGTAGGCAGCACCCTCTTGGAGCAAGCCAGTGCCCTTGGGAACTGCTCAGGCATTCTCATGTTCTCTATTGGGAACCTCTATCCCGCTCCATTTCCTGGTCTTTAGTCCATGGCAAGAGCTCTGTTTTTCCGTCTGACCTGCTGGGCATTGGTTCTGCCCCCACATCCTGTCTTAATGGTCCTCAATTCTATATCTTGCATCCTGAAGTCCAGTGCCTCTCACCCACCAGGCTCTGGGGTGCTAATCCGGGAGGTGTGTGGTCCCAGGGTGCAGGCTATGGGTTGTCTTCTCTCCGGCACGGCCAGCAGCAACAGCAGTGGCGCCTGCCCACAGAGGTAGGGGGTTCTTGGGCCAGCGGGTCGCAGGTGGGAGAGCGAAGCCCAGACACACCGGGTCCACTTCTCTTCTTCGCCTCCCAGTGTCTACAAACCACTCTTACAGCTGGCTGAGAAGAGCAAGTTCAGGTCTAGAGCAGATACTCCTGCAGCAGCGTGCAGTGGGATCTGTGTGCTGACGCCTTCTGAGGTCCTGCGGGAACATCAGATGGCTGGGAATGGTGTCCACCGAGAAAGTTATGGATAGCGGAGACCTGAATCTCTCTGCAGGGAACTTGGAAATGAATGCGTGCTCTGAATTAGTGAGGGAAGCACATCAATGAGCAAGTCTGTTGGACTCTTGGGATGGGCATGATGTCGATGTGGGATTCTGAGCAGGTTACCCAAGGAAAAACAGCCAAAGCAACGTGGAGCCTCAGAGCACAGCTCTGCCGTCTGCAGGTCATTGCACTCATGCTCCTTCCCAACCTTCCGCCCTTACCTCCCCTAGCACCCGCGGGGCCAGCACCCCGCAGGCTACCTGGCCTTGGAGTCCTGTCCAGCTGTCCTCATGGCTGTCCTCATGGCTTCTGACCCTGCCACTGTCTCTCCACACCCAAAGCTCACAGAGACATTTGTGCTTTGGGGTTTTGCTTAAAGAAAACTTGCTCTGAGAAACCTTCTTGGATACCACTCTTCCTTTAGAAGTCATTTGAAAGATACAAATAAAACAATGCTGAGATCCCACCTCACCCCAGAAAGAATGGCCGCTATCAAGAAATCAGCCAAGAACAAATGCTGGCGGGGCTGTGGGGAGAAAGGAACCCTTCTCTACTGCTGGTGGGAGTGCAGACTGGTGCAACCACTGAGGAAATCAGTGTGGAGATTCCCCAAAGAATTAGGATTAGAGGACCCATTTGACCCAGCTATTCCCCTACTTGGTATCTTCCCAAAAGAATGAAAAGAATCATACCACAGCGATATATGTGCACCCATGTGCATAGCAGCACAGTTTGTAATAGCTAAATCTTGAAAATAGCCCAATTGCCCCTCAACTAGAGACTGGATAAAGAAGATGTGGCTTTTTATAAAATTGTACTACTCAGCCACAAATAATGAGAAATTGGAGACATTTATAGCTAAATGGTTGCACACTGAGGCCATACACTTAAGTGAAATAAATAGGACACACGTATAAATACCAAGTAGTTTCTCTGGTGTGAGAACTGAAAGTGTAAATAAGGATCAAAAGGTGTTGTAATAGATACTGTGAAACAGGAAGGAAAGGTCCAAAGGGGAAGGGGAAATGAGATTGGATGTGGAAAGAAGGGAATGGAATTAATACAAGAAAATGAAAAAATGGAAACAAAGTCTTTGTAAATAGGGAGGGGTAGGGGGTTGGAGGGAGAGCAAGGGAGTGGGGAAAAAATAAGAATCAAGGTATATTATGTAAAGGTACAAGATCCCAGTGATGAATGTCAGCATATACCTAAAAATGTATACCTAAAAATGTAACAATAAACTTAATAAAAACAGAGAAGAAGTCATCCGATCCCTCACCTCTCCCCCAAATGCCAGTGAGGAACGAAGCTCTGAGTTTTTCTGGGGGAAGCACCTCCCGGCACCATCCCTCCTAGTCCCACAGAGCGCTTCTCGCTTCTCAGGCTGCAGGTCACCGCTGGGGAGGGGCCCACCATGGCGCCGGTCTCGGTCCTCTCGTCCAGCAAGGCACTTTCTCTGTGTCGTGGATTTCTCTGGTACATCAATGAAAATTAAGGTCTTTATTCACAACAGTGTGTCTAAATGCATAAGACAATTATAAAAGAAGTCAATAGTAAAACACAGCTGTCAAGGTACAGAAATGACAAGTAGGTTTTTAAAAATATATGTGAATGTGTTTGTTAGTTGACACGAGCCGGCAACTTTTCTCACTGGTGATGACTGCAAATGACCTCGTGAGAAATTTGGAAGAAGGCACTGCAGTGGGACCCTCGGTGACACAGTCATCTATACTGTGGGTGTTTGCGTTTCTTACCTGTGTTCGTAAAGGAAGCGAACACTTCTGATTGGAGGTCAGTGAAAAGAAAAGCTGCAATTTCCTCCCATTTCCCTTCTGGGTTGAGAAGGCCGTCGGAGAGGCTCCGTCCCCCTCCCTGTCCTCCAAATGCTCGTGGAGAGAGTCCAGAGAGACCAAGACTTAACCGCTTTGGTTCCCCTCGGGTCAATGCAGGCCAGCATCTGCACCTGGGAGGGTCTCCGGGCTTGCGTGAAGGCAAAAGGAGAACTGAGTAAACCCCTTTCTAGGCTGGCCTTCATTTTTGCTCCTGGCTCTGCACCCAGGGGTGGGAGAAGCTTCTCCGTGTCTCTCACTGTAGGCAGAGGGGAGGTGCAGGGAGGGGTGGCAGGCGGAGGGAGCCACCCCTGGGGACTCACCGTGTCAGGGGTTTTCAGGAGCAAGGAGGGCAGCCAGTGGAGCTGGTCCACCAGAGCATGATAGAAAAATGCAGGAAAGGGAAATGCCGTCATCCCGCTGGCCGCTCTGTAGACCAGGAACTGAAAGTGCATTTCCGGGACTACAGGCAGCCGCTTGCTCATCCTTACCCTGCTTGTCCCCCAGGAAAATTCCTAGCAAAATTCCCAGCACTGCCAGCCTGGAGTAGCAAAGGCTTCTACCAGCCTGCCGCTCCAGGAGCTGAGTCACTCCCTGCAGCAGATGCCCAAGCCACTGGATTTTCCTGCAGTGGTGCAACTGGGCAGGAAGTTGGATGTCAGCTGCTGTGACTGCGTAGACAGGGGAAACCCTGAACTGCAAACTCAGGACTGGCCGTGGGAAAAGGGCATGCTGGATTTTCTTCTTGATGTCTAGAAATATTGTTTCCTGCCCCCAGGTGGCTTGCTTAGGATGCTGAGTGGGTTTGCTAAGCAGGGATTCTCTTCCCTCTGTCCAGTGTATTTTCAGAATGACTTTTGCTCTGTTTAAATGTGGAGCCACAGTTTTGAAATCCCACTTTCTCAAGTCGGCTTGATGTGTACAAGCAAGTACCTCTGACTTCTCTGCCACCGCAGCCTCCCAGTCTGTGCTGATCGAGAACCAGCTGTGTGCCAAGCCCTTGCTGCCCATACACAGGTTTCACCATGTCTCTCCCCAACTCTGAGTCCCTTCCATGGCTCCCTATTGCCTTAGGGGGGAAACAGAATTATAGCGTCAAGGAGGCCCAGTCGAAAGGGATTTAAGAAATCGTTGAATATATTCTTCCAGTTTCTCAAGACTACTCAAGGGGGTGAAGGTAAGACTAGAGCTGGAACCTAGACCTCTCGGCTCCTAGTTTGCATGTGTGCTCCTTGCCATGATACCTGGTCACCGATGCTGTCATATTTCTAAATTCATCGCTTCCTGCACATGTGCACAAGACTCGACGCCGGCCCAGCAAATCCGCCTGTCAGCCCTCAGGGACTCAGAGGCTGTTGCAGCCCGGGCTCATCTCCAATCTGAGTGCCCTTTGTGTTCCCTAGTCCTCCTCCCTGCCCTCTCCCTCATCTTTGCCCATTTCAGGTCTGCTGGTCTCCCAGGGCTCAGCGGACGGCTCTGGCCCTGTGCTCCCCAGCACTTCCTTTCTGTATGTTTGTACACCGACTTTCTTGGAGGTTCTCCAGCACCTCTCTAGCTCCCCACCTCACCAAGGATGAAATCAGCGCAGAGCCACAGGCCCAGTGGGCACTTCACAGGCATTCATCAGAGTGTCTTGCACGTAGCAGGCATTTCATAAACGTCACTTAAATCCACTCCACGAGATGCAAGAATAATAAAAATCACCTTACGTACTTAAAGTCTTGTATAAATATTCCTCCTGCCAACTCAGTGAGCCAGAGAGTTAATTCCATTGTTTGATGAAACCCCAAATGCCTGCAGGGTGAAAGGACTAGTCTAAGTCCCCAGAGATCACACTGAAAGTTGGTGGGAGAGTGGACACTGGAATTGGGTCTCCTGGCACTCAGACCCACAGGAACAGTGTGCTAATACCTTCTACATGCTTTCAGCTCAAGACTCATTTCTTTTGCCAGAATTGCAATGTAGGGAAAGCTTCTCTCCCAGTTTCCTCTTTAAAGGAAGCTACTTACTAGGGAAAGGGGGTTCAAAATGGGTTAAAAGTGCCATGCACTGGAACGAACACTTAGTGAGTTCGACTTCTGTCTGCCTCTTGCCAGCCAAGTGCCCCTGCAGCAAGCGACTTAACCTCTTTGAACTATAGTTTCCCCACTTTTAAAACAAGTATTGGACTAGCTGTACTGAAAATCACTTGCAGCTCTAATGACTCAGGAGGGATAATTTCGTTTGGTAGGGGCATTGCTGGCATGGGTATACAAATCCTGAATCCAGAAGGTTCTCGGATCTTCTAGATCTTACTAGAAAAGATCCTGTAGTGTGGAAGGGAGCTCTGGGTTTCCTGTAAGTTAAATCATGGAGCTTTAGGACGTAGTGCAAAGACAAAATGATTATAAATCAATATATTTGTTCAATGGTCACTAAATATTAACTGAGCAAGATGAACAAGGAGCTCTCAGGCCAGTAGGAGAAATATAAGGAAAAGTTGTAATTGACTGTGCTGAGTACAAAAAGTATACAGAAGGTAAAGGTAAGGGGAAGAGAGGTAAGAGTCAATTACGCCTTAGGAAATGGGGGTAGAGGGAGAGTTTAAGGTGAGGTAAGGAAAGGTTCATAGAGGAAATATATTCAATCGAATTCAATTTTCTATGAAAATTTGGTGGAATTTATATAGAATGTGATTTGGGACTTAGCCAAAGAAATTTAAATAATATAGTACTTTGATATATGAAAAGGCAATACTTGGTTATAGTATTATGCATGAAAAACTAAGATTAATTAACAATTTCAGGTAGCATAAAACAAAGCAGTTGGGTTTTCTTCGTTAATAGAATTGATTGGCATGAGTAAAGCTTATACAGGCCTCGATTTATTGAGAATCTGGATTTCAAGTGCTCTTTTCAGATCACATTTCTCAATTTTACTTTACTCACACTTGGGGGTGAGCACAAGAAATTGTTTAATTAGCACTAATGGTGGAAAAGCAGGAAAGAGCTTAAATAAAGAAATACTTAGATTAGATATCCACATATATTCGCCACATTTGTCAAGCATGACAGTGAAGAATAATGATCTTCTCTTCCAGGGAATTTTAGGAAGACAGTGATAGGTATTCCAAATAGCATCATTAAAAAACAGAATAAAAGAAACTCTCTTGAGGACTGGGGATGTAGCTCAGTTGTACTTCACCTGCCTGGCAAGCACAAGGTCCTGGGCTTGATCCTCAGTATCTCAAAACAAAGAACAAAACCCCAAAACCCAAAACAAAGAGCATCTTGATCCAATAGGTAGAAAAAGCAAAGAACCATTGAATGTCAGAACTGAAAAAAAAAATTGTGCATTACCTTTTGTGTTGCTTTTATTTTACATAGTAATAAAGTGAAATCCAAAACTGCAAGATGATATGCCAATGTCATCAGATTAACTGTGAAATTTCTGGATTTAAATAAGAGATCTCAGTTTTATATATTGAGTAGGAAAAAAAGTGAGAAAAGAAGCACAGTATAGCCTCTACCATCTTGATCTCTTTCAAAACATTTTGAGGAATTCATTTCAGATGCTTTGAGTGTAACTTGGCCTGGAAGTATGATCCTAGATAATGTACTAGTTCCTGTCTAAGAGACTCCTCCAGCTCACTGGGGAGAAAGGATTAAGGCCCATGAAACAGGAGGCTCTCCCGGGCCAAAGGAAAGCCTGTTATTGGAAGTCAGAGCAGGGAGGGGTGGATATAGGCCACACTAGTTCAGGAATAAAGGATTGAGGTCTCCTTCAGGGATGACTGGTGGAGAGAAGAGAGCTCATGTAGGAAAACAAGGGTGGAAATAGCAAAGGAGAAACAGCAGAAATGAACTCCCGGTGTCTGGAGTCTGGGAGAAACTTGATTAAGGGGATCTGGATTAAGAAGAATTTGGTTAAGGAGACCAAGCAGGAAGGTAGAAGCAGAATGAGGTACATCCTTTACTCACATTTACTGGCAGTAACTCCTTGAGGCAGTGCTTCTTGGAGGAGGAAGAGTGTGCCTTTAAGCAGCCTGAGGACCTTAAGAAGTGCAGTGCCACCCGCCATCCATGAAATTCCAAGGAACTTCCAGTGCTCACCTGCACAAGCTCAGGTCCTTCCCGTGATACATCCATGGTCTTGAGTCGGCTTGAAACGGATTCCCAGGAGACCAGAGCTGTGACCCCTCCAGAGCTCAGGTAAGACACCTTTCCACATGGTTCTGGGGATCAGCCTAGGTCTCTCAGTCGTCTACCCAGGTCGGCCATGACCAACGGAGTCATTTCACTAGCACGGAATTTCTTAGCTGGCAAGGAATTTTCACATCCACCTTTGTTCTTCACTACCGAGCACAACACTCAGGACAGCAGTGCCCAATAAATGCTGACTAATTGTCAAGCTTATGGTAGATTTACTGTATATCTACTAAGTTCAAGGCAACTAACAAAAATCTCTACTTAAAGCGAATGGCCACTCACTGTGCTGGCTGCACACAGTACAGATTATTCTAGTCAGAGATGAGTTCCTGGGGTATATTTAATTACCACCATTTCTGGGTTAAGAAAATGAAATTCAAAGGGATGCTTTGACTTGTTCACAAGGTCACATAAAGGTAGGGTGGCCGGCCAACTCATTGTGATGTCCCGTCACCCCCCTCGGGCCTGGGCAAACTGGCCACCTGAAGGGAGCTTGTGGAGCAGGGATTTGTTACACAGTTCTGATTGTTCTGTTTTATTCCCTTCCTACATTTGGCAGTATTGTGGGTGGTCATGAATGCTAGAACATGCCTAGCATACTGCCTGGCACATCGGAAAAATTCATGAAGTGGTAATGGTTGTCACATATCATCATCCCAAACTAACCTCTTACAGAGCAAACTCACCCCCACGAAACCACAAGGCCCCGGCTGCCTTCCTTAGGACCTTCACCTGGCCTCTAGCCTGAGAGGCAGGGCCAGGAGAGGGTGTTCTGGCATCTGCTCTCCTGCAGGGGGCGCTGCGGAGCCCAGGTTCCTCTGCAGGGAGAAGCCTGTGGAGGAGAAGCCAGCCAATTGCCTAGCAGGTTTTGCCTTACTGACAATGGAATTGTTATGAAATCACTGACTTTCTATTTGCCTTTGGGGCTGCAATGAACCTATTATTTTCGAATAACTACTCTAATCTCAGGCAGATGCCAAACAGAACTAAGTTCGTCTGCCCTGCTGTGGCCATAACATTCTGACGATTTATCCGCCAAATGTTTTTGGTGGCACAGCCACAGCTTCTGTGAGATTCTGTGTTTTCCCTCTTACCCCGCGGGTCTAGGGGAGCAGAAGAGAGTGCTGCACTGGCACTCAGGAAGAGAAGCCTATCTACGTCAATTTTCCAAAACAAGTTTTGACATTTCTCATAAAATGTCATCCTCTGTGTATTCACCCCAGCTACCAGCTTCTCCAGGCCTTGCCTGCTGGGTGATGACGGTGGGGCCAGGTTGGTGACATAATAAAGGAGCTCGGCCCGTGGTCCGACCGGCTCTCAGAGCCTGCACAGACGTCCGAAGGCTTCTCTTTGCAGGAGTTTCTGCAGGTTTCTTAGTGAGTTGTGTGAAAGGGCTGTGCTGTGAGGGGCCAGACGAGGCTCTTGACCCCAGTGGCTGGATTGGTTTCCTAAGGGTCACACATGGAATCAGTAAGTCATATTCTTTCCTTCGACTTCCCAGCTCCTGTGGTCTCCCGATTCTCGGAGTAAGATGAAAACCTCTGGCCTTGCCTTTGGTCTTCTCTCTGCTATATTTTATCTCCTCTGCACTCCTTCATCTGGGCTCCAGACCCTCCATTTGGGAAGCTGTGTGATCATCACAAACCTCCAGAAAATACAGAGTGAATTCTCTGAGATTCGGGACAGTGTGGTATGTGAGGGAAACACCCACCTCTTGTCCCCTTCTTGTCCACCTCCTTCCCAGGCAGCCCTGTCCGTGTGTTTATGCAAAAAGCCAGGCCGGGGACTCCCTTACCGTCATGATGCATTCTGGAGAGATAGCTGCGGTTTCTAAATTAAAAGTGTTTCGACAGGAAAGCCTCCCACCAGGCCTGGCAGGAGTCAAATTCCATGGCAGCACTCCCTGACCTGTCTCACTTTGTCTTCCCTTCTTCTGTTTTAGCAAGCCAATGACCAAAACATCGACTTCAGAGTCTTAAGGAACGCTGGATCTTTGCAAGACACAGAGGTACGTGCTCAGGGAGGAAGCACGAAGCCAGGGTGTCTGCGTCACCTGGGCCTTGTCTTCTTCTCCCTCCCCCTCCTCCCAGAAACACTGCTTTTCTTTGCAGCCTTCAGACCGGTGCTGCCTCCTCCGCCACTTACTCGGACTCTACCTGGACAGAGTATTCCGGAACTACCAGACTTCTGATCATCACACGCTCCGGAAGATCAGCAGTCTAGCGAATTCCTTTCTGACTATCAAAAAGGACCTCCAGCTCTGTGTGAGTGAAGGTCTTGGGTAACAGCGTCCGTCTGAGCCACCCAGCTTTCTTTCCCAGCCCTTTCGGTGAAGGATGGAGAAACTGAGTCCAAGAGCTCTGATGATCTGTGTTGAGTCATGTGATAAGGTACAGGGGTGCCTCATTTAATTTGTTCCACGACTCTGGTTGCAACCAGATTGCAAGACTTTTGAGTGTATGCTGTTTGCAAAAAGTACTTTGCACAGTTTAAAGAACTATAAATGTTGGCAATTTAGGTAGGTACTTAGTGTTCATGATAATTATGTTGTCCGTGAAATTCCCCTTTTCTATAGGTGAGGTGTCCTATAGTGTACTAGTGCATCTCGTGTGCAGGCCGCCCAATCAGCAGGCTTGGTTCGGGGAATGCAGGCTGAATAGGGTCTGGGAATCTAGTTCTGTCTTCCCAAGAAATGCTCTGGGATGGACAAGAAGAGCTGGGCTGGGCGTGCCAGGTGGGGCACAGTGGGCACAAACTCCTTCAGCATTGCCACTTTCTAAAAAGCTGTGATCAGCTGCATAGTTGAGGCTGAAAAGCTGGTTTCCTCTTCTAGCTAATGATTAATTTAATGATTCTAAATAAGGTTGGGCAGCGGTTTTCTACAGGAAATAAGCATTCATAGGATTGTGGGTGAAACAATTCTCACGTGCTCATGTCCCCGGGAAGGGCAGAAACCCCACATTTTAAATAATTTTGACATTCTTTCGGTCCCTTTTAGCATACCTACACGACATGCCATTGTGGGGAGGAAGCAACGGAGAAATACAGGCAGATTCTGAGTCACTTTGAGCAGGTATAAGCTTTCTGGCCGTGGTTTCAGACCAAGACCACAGACGGGTGGGATGGATGCCTGTGCTGGGAGAAGCCCCTCGGCCCTCAGCCTAACCTAGGTGGAAGAGTGCGCTCTGCCCGGTGCTGTGGGGATGGGAAGGGAGCGGCCTCTCCACAAGCCCACAAGTCCCTCAGAGACATCTGCGTCTTCCAGCTGCACAAATGACGGGCGATCACTTTCTGTTCATTCATAAACCTACACATTCCTGCAAAAGCATGCATTCCATACCCGTGGTGTGCTGCTACACTTCTGGCACCTTCCGGGAAGCTGGGTCCACTCCTCACTGACTGCTCCTCCTTTAAGACTCAGCTTCAGCACCCTCTGCAGCAAGGTCCTGGCTATGGCTTTCAGAGCTCGGTGCCCACCCAGCCGTCCTGTGGGGTCTCTGTCCTTTCCTCCCCACACTGAAGCTCAGCTGGCTGCTGCTTTTGCCTGCTGCCCTTGCTCCTCTGGGGATTTCCTGAGTCCGAGGGGGGTAAACCTGGAGCAAACGTGTCTGGAGTATTTCCTAAGCACTCGCATTTGTATCTCTTTCAGCTTGAGCCTCAGGCAGCCGCAGTGAAGGTCCTGGGGGAGCTAGACATTCTTCTGCGCTGGATGAAGGAGACAGAACAGGGGTGAAGGGAGTCTGCTGAGAGTACTCCTGGCCAAGAGCCCCAGGCCTCAGGATCCCAGGGACACCACCGAAACCACCATCTCTTCACCGTGAATTAATTCAGTGCTGGTCACCGTGCATATTATTTATTATTTCTTTCTTTACCTAGTTGTCTTTAAATGCCCCCCATCTCAACTTAGACCATATCTTTACAAGAGTTTTAGAACACCTGATGTTGGATATATTTATTGATTAATATATTTATTTATTTTTGCTGTTGAACTTATTTTTGTACTTGAACAAGAGGCTGTTAAAAAAAACCCTCACAGGTTACATTTATAACCTGACTAGAACAGGTGATGTGTTTTTATACAGTAAACAAATTCTAGAAGCGCGGCTGGTCGTTTTATTAAATTAGGGGCACACATGCTGTGGCCAAGGCTCTGTGAGATATTTAAAATTAAACGAATGACTGCTTATTGTGAGTTATGGATGAAGATGTTCTTAGAGGAATTTACAGACCTCTCTTGGAATGACTGAGCTCCCCACCCCAGCGCCCAAGCGGCACAGCCAACATGCATTTATACAAATAGAGTTTCCTTTTGCGTGATACCTGCTTGGAGTTTGCAAGCGCTTCCAGGGAGTAGTGATGCTGAGGCTGAGCCTTCTGGCTTTCTGGAAAGCCTCGGTGGGAGGCAGGGCCTTCTTTCTCCCACAGTCTCACGGGCAGCTCTTCCCCGAACCGCTCGCCTCTCTGATTTCACAGCTGTCCTCAGTGTGACGGGGCTAGGGCTCCGGTTGGGGCTCCGGCCTTCCCTGCTTCTGCCTCCTGGCTGGGAGCTTGGCTCTCTCCCCACCCCATGTTGCTTCTCAGCCTGGTTCCCATCCTCTCGCCTCAGGAGTCTTGATTGGAACCTCAATCACAATGCTCTGTTATGAGGGTTAAGAACACACAGTGGGGTGGTTCCTGCGTGCTGTCCATGGATCCCTTCCCATGGTGGATTCTGTCCAGTCCCAGAGTTGAAGTGATTGCCGGATTGAGCCTCCGTCTTTGTGTCCAAATATTAGGTCAAAGCGTATTACCCTGGCCTTCCTCATAATGCACTCTGCTTCCCTGGACTCCTAGGCGACAGGAGTCCTCACCTGGCCTGGTTTACTTCTTGCATCCCCAGCATTTCTGTTGTCTCTAATATCTGTCTCCTCTCTTTAACCTTGGCCCCAGTATGCTTTTGATGACTTCACTGGGTTCCCCCCCTCAATATACTACTTGTCTAATCAAGAGAAAAGAAATTGAGAAATACTGAGAAATTTAAAGAAGAAAATTAAAGTCACCTGTAATCTCTACTCCTAAACAACCACTTTTAAACATCTGTGTATATTTTTCCAGATCTTTTTTAATGGGTTCAAATCATGACTCAGTTCTCATTGCCCAAGCGAGTTAGGGTTTAAAAGCTGAACATCTTAGAATTTAGTTTCTTCTTCAGAAAAGGAGAATGATGCTAATACCTACTTTTCAGGTGATGGGCTTTTTAAAAAGCATTGTTTCTGCTTTGTTCCTAGACCCTTACTATTTTCTATCAGATTTTCACCCCTTACCACGCCTCTTCTTCTGGATCTTCAGTTGCCTGCCTCCTGGTTCTGAAACTGTATCATGGGTGTGTGTATGTACAGGAAAAAACACAGCCTGCAGTCAGTGCTCTGCCTGTGTCTGTTTTGCATCCACACATCCCACTGGTGTGGATCCAAAAAATCTGGGGGAACAGTGAATCTGTACTGAACATGAACAGACTTTTTCTTTTCATCATGCCCTAAACAGTACACTATCACGACTATTTACACATTAGGTGTTGTATGAGATGATTGGAAGTGTATGGATAGGTACAGGTTACTGTGAAAACACTGAGCCATTTTATGCAAGGGACTTGAGCAGCCATGGATTTTGGAAGCCTGGAGGGGGGCCCTGAAACTAACCCCCCAAAGATACTGAGGGGCGCTGCATACAAACCATAGTTCAGTGCTACGCTGAGTTTCAGCCATGCATGGAGAGTTTGGAAAATGTCCTTTGAAGATAAGGAGGGGGCCACTGTATATGAGCTGGCAAAGTGAGCACGCGGAGGGCTACTGTAAAGAAAGCGGTTGTCATTTATCAATGACTTATCATGTGGCAGGAACTGTGAGGAGAGTTTCAAAGACATTATGTCATCCAATCCTTACAGCAGTCCTGTGAGGTCAGCAATATTGTTACCTGATAATGTGCTCAGAATGGTAATTCTTGCAAGATTGTACACCTAACAGAGAGCAGAACAGCAGCGGGGCAGCCTGCTACCTCACCCTGCATACTTTCCCACTCCACTGTCCCCTTTCCTAAAGAAACACTGAAGTTTGTCTTCCTAAGGAAGAGTGAAAATCCCAGCCTTGACCTTCACTATTGCAGGCAAGTGACGCAAGCATCCTCAGTTCCTTTATTTACAGAGTGGAGGTTCATCACTTACCACACCAGATTAATGCAGGCACCGGGCAGATCGTAACAGCTGATCTGTAGAATTGCTCGTTATGTGTCAGGTGCTTTTCCAAGTGTTTCAAGTGTGTGCTCGTTTAGTACGTACAAAGGCCCGAAGAAACAGTGATTATTGTTTCCATTTCATCCACAAGGAAGGGAGGCAAAGCATCTTACTTAAGTTCACACAGCAACAAATGTCAAGAAGTAGAGACGTTGAAGGACCCTGCTTTGCTCAGCCCGTTTGGCCGGAGGGGTGGCCTCCCAGTCGGTGGGAAGCACGGGGCTGACAGAGGCTGACTATGTCAGAAGAAAGGGTTGAATAGGGCTAAATGCGAACTTCGGGGAGCACAGACCTCCATGGTGTCTGTGCTGACTGTAGTTTTTGCACTAGTATAGACCTTGTCTCCTCAACAGGCAACATGTGCTTTCCTCTGGAGGGGATGAGATAAATATGCCCAACTGCAGACTGGCCTGTCATTCCAGCTGCAATTAGCTATTAGGTCTTGGATAAGCTACCTTTCCCTCTCTGCTTCAGCTTCTGCTGAGAGACTGGGCACACAAACACAATGGCCACACTGTGAGGCCAGTAGAATTGGGATCCACAATCTACAGCCACAAGCCCAGTACCTATGACAACCAGCCCAGGAAACCACGGGCTACAACTTCAATTCAGACTTGTGGGAATTGACACTGGCCACTCGGCCTGTGAGCACAGGAAGCAATAATCCCTGTAGCAATTGGCCCCAAATGGCCAGGTCTTGATAAATACATGACAGCTTTCCTAATTTCTGTTCTCACTTCTGACTTAGGACCAATCAGAGAAAGCCAAATGTGTATCCCTAATTGGTTACACAGGAAGCCCTTCTTTCAGTTAACCTACTGACAGCTTCTCCACACCAGCAGTCCCCTATCAGGCCCCACCTGATACCTTCCCCGTTCCCGCTTTGAAGCCTCCCCAGTCCACTTGGGAGTCTCCACCAAAATGCAGGTGAGGAGGCTGCCTCATTTTTCAAGCTCTGAATGAACTGAATAAACAGCTGTTGCCCATTCTCATTTGATTGATCTTTGTGTATTTCCACACTGCATTTTTGAAATGAAAAGGTTGAAGGCAGGTGCAATGGCTCATGCTTATAACCTCAGGACCCTGGGAGTACACTCTTTCTCAGAAGGAAATGAGGAATGAAGTCCAGTGACATTGACTAAAAAAAAAGAAATACAAAGTTTTTTCTGTCTCTCATTTCCATCATGACTTGGGGTTACCCAAATTCCCTGTCTTCAAGGACCCAGGTGCAGAGAGTGAGAGCAACGTCTAAGGTCACACAGTGAGTTACAAAAGAGCTGGCAGCAAAAGGCAGGTCTCTGTACTTTTAAGACCACTAAACCCCAATTCTATGAAAAAGGAACAAAAGTCTTACAGATTAGAAATGAAGAATTCTTCATTTGTGGCTGACATTCTTGTTTATGTCAAACTATCCAATGGAATCTACAAAAAGCTTCTGGAACTAGAAAGAAAGGTTAGTGAGATTGCAGAGTGAAGATTAAAAAAATAAAAATTGTATTTGTGGATAGCACTAACACAGCCATGGAACTTGAAATTAAAAGAAAAACCTTGTTAATTATCATAACACCAAAATGTTGAATAGTTGCTGGGAGAAATTAAATATTACCTAAATAATGGAGAAATATGCCACATTCATGAGTCAAAAGACTTAATATTATTAAGATGTCAGTTCTCCCACGACTGATCTATGAATTCAATGTAATCACACAATAAAAATTCCAGAAATATGTTTTAGGTAGAAATTGATCAAATGATTTAAAATTCATCCTGTTATTTTCCCGGACAAGTGCCATGGAGACAGAGAGGCAGATGAATCCTGCGTAACTCTACTTGCTCGTGCCTGTGTCTGAGTGCACAAAGCCAAGCGAGCCAGTCACTCAGAACAGGCTCTCTGTCAAAGGGAGTTAAGAGTCCCCCCAGCCCTCCACATGTTAGCCTGGCAGTGTGTCTCTACTTTTCATCCTCATTGTCCCTTGGTCAGGTCGAGTTTGTAGACTGCTTCCTATACATCTGAAATGGTCTTATGCAGATAAAATGGTACAACCACTTTAGAAAATAGTTGGTTGGTTTTTTAAAAGTTAAATGAACTTTTACCATATAAGCCAAGCATTCTGTTTATTCAAGAGAAAAGAAAACATATATCTATATATAGACTTGTACACGAGAATGCCAGCTTCAGTTTTGAGTTTATCTTTCTTTCTTTCTTTTTCTTTTTTTTTTGGTACTGAAGATCAAACTTGGGACTTTGCACTTGGCAGACAGGCAGCAGAACCGCTGAGCTAAATCCCCAGCCCTAGCCAGCTTCAGTTTTAATTGCCAACAGTTTAACGCAACCAAATGTCCCTTACGAACAAATGGGTAAACACACGGTGGTGGATATGTTCATTATCTTGATGGTGACGAGGTTTTACAGTTATATATTTGTGTCAGAAGTTATCAAATTGTATAACTCAAGTATGAATAGTTTATTGGGTGCCAATTACAGCTCAGTCAAGCTGTTAAGAAATAACCCAAGACATTCCCTTTTCTGGGCATTGTTGGTGTTACAGGTGTATAAAGAGATTGAGAGTAGTAGAACAAGTCACTATCCAGCAGTATAAGGCTCAGTGTAACTAAGGAAAATCGCTGCTGTGGAAGAGCAGCTAAACCCTTAGAAGACAGGTAAGGGATATTAAAGGAGGGGCCATCCAGCTAGTGTGGCACCACGGGCAATGCCCTTGAACTTCTGCT